CCCCAGTGGGGGATGGCCACGCCACAATCCCTTCTCCTCCATTCTCCTCTCGGGATCTTGGGCACGCACGCACACGCTCCCGGCCTGAGTTTAAGTCACCGGGTCCAGGACTCAAACCGCTGTCGACTGCATGGGAGTCCAGCGACATAGCCATTATGCCAACTCCTTGTCCCTTTTTATTTATTTATTTTTTAAATTATTTTATTTTGACCAAATGGGGACAAAGAGAGAGAGAGAGAAGGAAAGTGAGAAAGCAAGCCACCAGGTCTAGGACTTGAACCATAGTTGGCCATGTGGGAATCTAGCATCTTCAACTACCACTCTCCCTGCTGGCCCAATGGTCCCTTTTTAAAGAATTATTTTATTTAACTTTATTGATTTATTTTAATTTGACTGGGGAGGGGAGGAGAAAGAGAGATGGGGAGAGAAAGTGAGAAAGCAAGCCACCAGGCCCGGGACTCAAACCATGGTCGGCCATGTGGGGGAGTCCAACACCCTTAACCACCATGCCACCTGCTGGCCCGAACGTTCCACTTCTAAATCTCTTCCATCTGCTTTTTCCCCACCTCAGCTTCAGGCAGATGGTCACCGAGAAGCAGAAGGCGGAGGAGCGGGAGAGGGAAGCTCAGCAGGCGGCAGCAGCCAAAACCATCCAGGACGAGCCAGTCCAGGCAGCCACCGAGGGGCCAGTGGCCGAGCAGGCCCCGGAGCCATTGCAGGACAGCGAGCTCCCAGCATCAGAGCCCGAAGTGGGACCCAGCGATGCATCCCCGGCAGAGAGCACCTCAGTGGAGGAGGCGGCCCCCCGGAGCCCAGAGAAGGTTGTCCCTCCGCAGAAAGCCACAGCGACTGAAAGTCACGAGAAAGTCCCCAGCAGCCGGGAGAAGCGTGAGTCGCGCCGGCAGAGAGGGCTGGAGCACGTGCAGTTCCAGAACAAACACATCCAGTCCCATAAGGAAGAGAGCAGCCTCAGAGAACCTTCTAGAACAGACATCCTAGAGCCACAGGAGGGCCTCCCAGAAGACAAAAAGGAGAGCAGAGATGAAACCCCTTCAGACGCAGGGGTGGAGAGCGAGAACGCTCCCCCCGAAAAGCAGCTCATGGACCAGCCTGAGGCCACAGCGGTGGATGAGGTGTCCAGAGAGGCCGAGGCCGCACCCCCAAGCCAGAGCCCCACACCCGGCCCTGTGGAGCGGCCGACCAGCCTGGCCCTGGACAGTAGGGTCAGCCCTTCTCCTCCCGGCAGCACCCCCGAGACTCCCAAGGACAAAAGCAAACCTCGTGGTGGCCCCAGGACTCAGGACAGGCCCGAGAGTCCCGGAGGCTCCACCCAGATCCAGCGGTACCAGGACCCCTACTCCGAACGGCTAGCCACGGCTGTGGAACTGTGGCGTGGCAAGAAGCTGGTGGCCACCGGTGGCCCCAGTGCCCTGCTCAGCCAGTCCCTGGACCTCAGTGAGAGGCACCGCGCCTCGGGGGCCACCCTCACACCCACAGAGTAAGCCCCTTGTCCTCCTTTGTTAGAAAACCGTGGTGGGACCAGTAGTTAGCATAATGGCTATGTCGCTGGACTCCCACGTAGTCGACCGCGGTTCGAGTCCCGGACCCGGTGGCTTAAAACTCAACGCCAGGCACGTGTGCGTGCATGCCCAAGATCCCGAGAGGAGAATGGAGGAGAAGGGATTGCGGCGTGACCATCCCCCCTGGGGGGTGATTTCGTGCTTTCTGTCTCTCTGTCTCTCTCTGTCTGTCTGGCAAGTGCACGCGCCCTATGGTAAAA